TGCTATTCATTTGCTTCCCCATCTTTTCTGGTGTTTGTTTGCCCCTGGGCTGAAAACTGTGTGTGTGTATGTACTCCATTATATGTGTGTGTGTGTGTGTGTGTTTGTGCGTATATGTGTGTGAAAGCTCTCTGAAATGACGCATTGATTCACAGTGTTCTATATTTTCTCATCTGGCTCACTATTACAGTGCGAGTCAATCGACGCCGTATTTCTCTCTCGCTCCTTCTCTCTTTTACTTTCTCCCTATTCCTCTCCACCTCTCTCTCTTTCTGACTATCAGAGTATCATGTTGTTGAATGGGAGTGTTTACGAGGAGTGTTGTATTGCCTTTACAAGAGCAGGGTTTGGGGTGTCAGTGGATATGTCGTGAGTATCACTGGCAGGTTTTGTACCTGTGCAGGCTTGTGCGTATTTATATGCATTTTTTTTTTTTTTTTTTACTTGGAACATGGTGCTAAGTATTCAAGAGTGCATGCTCCTTTTGTGCACTGTGTGGGGGCATATGGTGCTGCTGAGGCCTATAGTGTATATCTGACAATATGTTTGAGTGAATGCCAGATCGCTTCATTTTTTTATTTTTTATTTTTATTTTTTTGCGTATGAAAGTATTTATATGTGTGCGGGAGGACTTGCTGGTGGGTATCTGCACCCTGTACTAGCTCGAGCTCTGCAACTCCACCCTGTGACCCACACGAACACACTCAACCACACACACGTGCACACACAAAAAAACACACCCTCCCACTCATGAGGATTTTTGCCAGAATCAATAGAGGCTTTTTAATGCCTCTTGCTGTAGTATGAGTCTGAAACTGGAGCGTGGGATCACAAATACGGCAGTCAGGGGCCCCGACGTTTGGGACTCGCCCCATTTTATGGTCTGTCTCACGTTGCCATCTCTGAAAAAGAACCCCTCCATTTTTCACCTCAATAACTGTGGACTTAAAATAAGGAAACTTTTTCCACTGGTGGTGTCTTGCTTTATATTATGTTGTTCATGCTTGTGTTTTGTGTGTGTTTCCAGGAATGGATGGATTATGAAACAGGCACGACCATGCTTTTTGAAATATTTTGTAGGTTTAGTGCTGCAGTTGGATGGAAACTGCACCTAAACATTAGTATTTTGTTCATGCTGGAGAACAAGATCCTTTTCAAAAGTTCTTCCCAAAAAAGATCCACACTGATGCACCTTTCCACAGATATTATACACACTACTGTAGGAAACTATTGAAAAATATTACAGGAAACCATCAAAGAAAACAGAGCTGTTCTGCTGCCAAATTGCCTTACAAATGTGAGTGTAGACTTACTGTACCTGCTAAATATACACTGTTGGAAAAAATACAATAATATTGGACAGGACTTGATACTAGATATTAAAGAACTCAGATTGGGATCAGGAGAAAAAAGACACGATTAAGACATTCATACTTTTTACTGAGCACTTTGTCTTTTCGCCATCACTCCTAACAGTGGCTCTCGGTTAACGTTCCCCACAAGCCCTCGGGCCCCCTGACCTGTGCTGTTCTGGTCTTTCTTTGCATCGTGTTGGTTTATCACTCAAATGTGCCTCTTGAATGTTTTCATTGTCCTCAAATAATGCAGTGACACTGCTTCCTGTGCCAGGATGGTTGATTTAATTACGTTAGCAGATACTTATTTTCTATCAGCATAATCCTGTGCACCTGTAGTTTCACTATAATGGAACGAGGGATGTGGAAACAATCCATCTATCAATGTCAGTGTCACTTTAACATCACTTGTCGCTTGTTTACCCAAAGTCTCTCCTGACTCTGCACTCGCTCACTTGCACACAGACATACGCACACACACACACGCACGCACGCACGCACACACACAGACACACACACAAGGCAGCCCCGTTAGTACTTTGTCTGAGCTACACCAACAGCCTACAGCCATGCTTACAGGGCATTTCCACTAGGAAGCCAAATCCCCTCTTCTCTCAGCTCACCTGGCAGCGAAAGAAAAAAAAAGACAGCAGAAAACTTTTTAAATGTAAGGGTTGGGGAGCAACTTTGATGATAAAAAGCGCATCAGGACGCAAAGTGAAGGGGAAAGAGGCTTTAAGGGGAAAAAAAGGGATTTCATTTGCAGGGTTTTGGTTGTGTTGGCCTGTGAGTGGGGGATTGATAGAGGATGGAAGGAGGGAGAGAAGAAGAAAAAAAAAACAGAGGAAAGAGGGTGTAGTCGTGCACCATAAAACGTCCCACTGCCTTTCCCAGGGCCAAGTCCTCGCTCTGTTTCTAATGAACTCATTTATTCTGTTTTGCTGGCTTTACCTCCACCAGCAACAAAAGACAGCCTCCTGGTCTGCCTCTCTGAATGCACTGCTTCAGGGTTTGTTGAGCATCTAGGTCTGTCCTATGGCATTACCTTTGTTTACTTAACGCTCACCATCGATCAAATGCAAACCTGAGACTGTCCTCCACTAGCAAAGGCATTGCTAATTAGCATTTCCTTCTAAAACAACGTTGATCGCAAGTGACTGATTAAATTTATTTGCCGTTGATGCATTAGTATGTAGTGTGTGAAGCCAAATACAGTCTCTTTCCCTTAAAGATATAAAGACAGAATCCTTAAAAAAAAGGCAGTGTTCTGTGCCCGTATATTCTGGTCCGTGTCAAACAATAGCAACAAAGGCAAAAACATCAATCGGCAGCACATTTTGTGTGAACACAAAATCGCATTCTGGTTTTGGCCAAATATTTAATCTCTCCTCCTCTCTCTCTCTCTCTTTCTCTCGCTCTCTGTGTGTCTCTGTCTCTCCCTCCCTCTTTCTTTCTAAATAATATGCCACTGGGAAGTGAAAAAAAAATGGAGAGCACGGATCCCCACTCCTCCGCTCTTCTCGGCTGCACGTCTGTGATGTCATAATCACTCACATCAAAGGCTGTGCGCTCAACACGGCGACTGTCAGCTTCCCTGGAGGCGTCATTAAAAACGAACAGAGCAAACTGAGCCAGGCCTGACAGAGACGCATCAAAACTTCCTAACACGCACATACGCACACATGCGCAGGCGGTGAGCGTGCGCAGGGACGTTCCTGTGAACGTTACGCGCAAGCATGGATGCATGTGCATTCAGGTGCATGCACACTTAAGCACATGCTAACTGATACGCATCAGAGAAACACACGTGTGCACACACTCACACACACACAAACACACACACACACACAAATATGTAGTCATTAAATCATGTATACTCTAAAGTAAATGCTCAAATCCATTGTACGCACATGCAAAAACACACACACACACACACACACACACA